ATTTGTTTCTGAGGGACTGGGCATTTGACATGATATTTTGCTTTTTTGTTTTGTCATTTTGACCTTGAGTTAATATTCTGGCCTTTTTGATCCTGCGAGTCTCCACTGTCCATCTTGTGTGTGTTAGGGTCCTCCCGTGTGGCTGATATTCACACAATTGCTGTGTCCTACAGTGTAGGGGAGGGGCCAGTGACCTGGATTCCTTCTGCAGGGCCTGTTGTTTGAGCCCTATATTCTTCACAGGTTGGGTAACCCAGGAGTATTGTTGCAAACCAACCATTATCTCCTGTTGCTACTGTGGCTTCAGGCAGTTCCAGGCCACCAGATCTACCTGTGTATAGTGTGCACTCTAGCAGGACCCTACTCTGTCACCAGAGGTCTCTTAGACCCTTTCCCATTCCTCCAGGTAGGGGTGACCTCATCAGCCTGTCCACCAACCCACTTGGGATTCTCTGTATGGAAAAGGGACTCACCCACACTCTTGCCGGCTCGCCAAGGTCCTACATTTGGGAAGAGGGTTTGCTGAGGCTCCTGAGGTCCTCTACTTGAGAGGGAAACTCACCACACTGTCACAGGCCCTCTGAGGTTCTCTCTGTAGCAGGAAGGGTTACCAAGGCTTCCACCAGCCCACCAAGCTAATACCACCAAGCAGGTGGTAGAAAGGGTCACTGATGGTCCATGGGCTGCTAAGGTCTATTGGGTAGGGGAGAATAGTGGTCCACAAGCCCATCAGCTGCTGAGGTGCAGAAGTGCAGCTGAGGCTCCCCTCAGCCACTGAAGTCGTCTGGGTATGGCGGAAGAGCATTTGATGATCCTGTCAGCTGCTGAGGTGCAGGGGAAGGGCAGCCCAGCGAGGCACTCCTCGGGTGCTGAAGATGAAGGGCAGCCGATGATCCCATTGGCTGCTGAGGTGTAGGGGAAGCTCTTTAATCCTTTTATTTATTTCCTGTTTCTAATTGCTCCAGCTAAAATTTTCAGGAGTATGTTAAATAGGAGTGGAGATAGTAGACATTCTTATCTTGTTCCTGATTTTAGAGAGTTTTGAGTTTTTGTCCATTTAGGATGATGTTGGCTGTTGGTTTGTCATAGATGGCTTGTATCAGATAAAAACTATCTATCCCAGTTTTTTTGTAGGATTTTTATCATGAATAGGTGCTGGACTTTGTCAAAAACTTTTTCTACTTCTGTTGAGATGATCATACAATTTTTGTCTTTGACTCTGTTAATATGGTGGATTACATTTATTGATTTATATGCTGAACCAACCCTGCATCCCTGGGATGAATCCCACTTGATCATGGTATATAATCTTGATGATTTGCTGCATTCTGTTTGTCATTGTCTTACTGAGGATTTTTTACAGCTATGTTCATTAAGGAAATTGGCCTGTAATTCTCTTTTCTTGATTGGATCCTTCTGTTTTGGTATCAAAGTAATACTTGCTTCCAGGAGTGAATTTCGGAGTATTGCTCCTCTTTCAATTTCATTAAAGAGATTGGGAAGTAGTACTTTCAGGTCTTCTCTAAATTTCTTGCAGAAATCAGCCATGAATCTGTCAGTGCTTGGGTTTTTGTTGTTGTTTTTGGTAGGTTTTTAATTACATCTTCATATCATCTTGGTTCAGCTTTGGTGATTCATATGTAGCTAGAAATCTGTCCATTTCTTTTGTATTTTCCAACTTATTAGAATACAAGTTTTCAAAGTAGGTACAGATGATCTTGTATATTTCTGCAGGGTCTGTGGTGATTTCACCCTTTTCATTCCTAGTTACATATGCTTGAGTTTTTCTTTGAGGTTGGTAAGGTTTTATCAATTTTGTTTAATCTTTCAAAGAGCCAACTCTTTGATTCATTGATTCTTTATGTTTTCTTGTCTCCAGTGTCTTAATTTCTCCTGTGATCTATGTAATTTCCTCCCTCATATAACCTTTCGGTTTAGCCTTCTCTTTTTTTAGAAGTTTGAGGTTCAACATTAAGTTGTTTATATGTGCTTGCTCTGTTTTCCTGATACAAGTATTTACTTCTATAAATTTTCCTCTTAAGACTACTTTCATTCTGTCCAATAAATTCCAGTATGTTGCACTTTCATTGTCATTGAACTGTAAACATTGTCTGATTTCTTCTTTAATTTCATCTGTGATCCATTGATTGTTCAGGATAATGCTATTTAGTTGCCATGTGTTTATGAAGTTCTTGTGGTTTCTTTTACCATGGATTTCCAATTTCATTGTACTGTGGTCTGATAGTATGCATAGGATAGTTTGAATTCTTTTCATTTACTTAAGCATGTTCTATAGGCCAATGTGGAATCTGTTTTGGAGAACATTCTGTAGCTGAAAAGAACATGTATTCTGATGTGTGGTGGAACGCTCTATATACATCTATTAAGTCCATTTGTTAAAAAGTTTGGTTCAGTTCTAATATTTCATTATTAATTATTTGTCTAGCTTATCTGTCTTTTTGTGACAGCGAGTTATTGAGATACAGTTGTGTTAGGGCTTATTTGATTTTTCATGTCGGTTAGTATTTATTTTATATAACTGAGTGCACTGATATTTGTTGCATGTGTATTTATGATTATTGTCTCTTCCTTTTGGATTGTTCGCTTTATGAGGATATAGTGACCTTTATCTTTTAGTCAGTCTTGGCTTAAGATTCACTTTGTCTGCAAATAGAATAGCTGCTCCTGCTTTTTTCTGGATTCCTGTCACACAGAGTATTGTTTTTCATCCTTTAATTTTTAGTCTGTGAATATATTTTTGAATTAAATGTGTGTCTTGTAGGCAGCGTATTGTTGGATCTTACTTCTTGATTCATTCTGCCACCACCATTTTGATTGGTGAATTAAGACCGTTAACATTGATGGTTGTAACCTACATGTATTGACTTATCCTCGTCATGTTATTTCTCTGTTATTGCCTCTGCTTCCCTCCCTCTAATTGTTTGCCATGCCTCATGGATTCCTTCTGTTGGGGTTTATGGAGCTGTAGTCCTTAATATCTCTTTCTAGAATGTCCTTCAAACATTTTGGAGTGCTGGTTTGGTGGTTATAAATTTCCTCAGATGATCTTTGTCATGAAAGTATCTTAATTCTGTCAGTTTTAAAAGATAGTTTTTTTTAGGGTACATCAGTCTGGGTGTTTTCCTTTAGAACTTGGAATATTTCACTCTTGACTTAAGCGTTTGTGCTGAGAAGTCAGCTATGATTCTGATGGCTTTTCTTTATGGGTGACTTGTTTCTTTTCTCTTACAGCTTTTAAGACTCTAAAAAAAGAAAAGAAAAAAGGTAAAGAAATGAAAAAGAAAATAAAACAACCACTTTCACGGTTCTCTTTGGTTTCACTAGTTGATAACCTGAGAAGACAGAGTCCTGATTTGTGCCACTCTCTCCCGGCAAGCCAGCAGTAGCTTTTGGGCGGGGTAGCAGATAATCTCAACAGTGCTGTCCTGAGACTAGACTCATTGGGCTTGCCACTGTCCGAGCATTTTCCATGGGGTTGAGCCCAGCTGGAAGCTACCAGTTGGAGTTGGCAGCAGTTCTGAGTTCTGGGCTTAGCCAGCCTGTCCCAGCCAGTTGCTGTCTCTCACAGGTGGACTGAGCCCTCAGCACTCGCCGCCTGCCAGTGCAGTCCCTATGTCTGCTACTCTCCTCTGTTGCTGTGTCTCTCTGTAGAGGGCTCTGGGGTTACCAGCTCTTATTGTCACTCTGGGTCCGCAGTTTGAACCACTCTTTTCACGCAGTGAGTCCTGTGTCGGAGAAGACATCGCCAGCTACCTCCTCCTTTGTGGGAGTTTCTCTCTTCACTATGTGGGCTTCAGTTTGCACTTCAGATTGTTACTGGATCCAGTGGACCCACTTCCCTCCTTGTCTTCCTCATGATGCTATATTCCAGTGTCTGGATGGTGACTCAGAGAGACTGTTTTCTCTGCTTGTTATTGCTCAGTCTTCTTGTGTCTTCTATCATTTGATTTTTGAAAGTATTCAAGCAGCACTAGGGAAATACAAAAATGTTAAGGTTCAAGCTGGGTGTGGTTTATACACTCATGAAATCCCAGAACTGTGGGAGGTTAAGGCAGGATGCTTGCAGGTTTGAGCCTAACTTGGGCAACTTAGTGATTTAGTGAGACCCTGTCTCCAGAAACAGTTGGTGGGAGGAGCTGTATATATAGTTTAATGAGAAGGCCCTGGGTTCAATCTTCAGTATCAAAAAGCAAAACAAAACAGAAAAGATGCAATGGGATGTGATATTGTCAAAGTCCAAAACTCAGTCCTGTTGGCAGACTAACAGAGCCCTCTGATACACAATTAAGTTCCCTTGTTCTTCACCTGACAGTGGGCTAGTTTATTTTGATATGAATTACAAAGTTTCAAGAAACCAAAATATATGTATGACCATTAATCCTGATATCAGCTTCCTGTCATAGGCGTTTAAAGAAGTGCTTAGCAGATTGGTAAAGCACACTCCTGGGTGTGTCTAGGTGGGTCCTGGAAGTGTGATCTTGGATACTGTATATAACCCCTTGCCCATTCCTCTCTGACACTGCTCTGCTGCCCAGACACTGGGAACTAAGCACCTTTGCTCTGGCACGCCTGTCACCTTAATATTTCTGCCTTGGAGCCAGCTGATTATGGTCTGAATCCCCCTGAACCATGAGCTAAGTTAAACCTCTCCTCTTTTAAGTTTTGAGTATTGGGTATTGTGTCCAATAATGGGAAAGCTAATCCACTGTGAAAATATATTCCTTAGATCAAGAACATGAGGTATATGACTTGCAAATGAGTTAAACATAGGTTTTTGTTGTTTTATTATTCTTTTAAGCTTTTTATTATAGAAAATTTCAAATGTATACAAACCAGAGAAAATGGTATATAAACCCATATACCCATAAGTGATTTCCAGAAATTGTCACTTTATGACTAATCTGTTTTTCATCTTGGGTAAGGTTTTTATTGCTAATGTGTTCTTTCTTCCTGAGAGTGATGATATTTTATACCATTAGCCTCTAGGGCGTCTAGGGGCTTCAGTGTTTGGAATTGATCCTGTGGATGAAAATATTAAAACAGCACAGCACCATAAAGCGTTTGACCCAGTCCTGGATAAGAGGATAGAATATAAAGTGTGTTCCCTGGAAGAGATTGCGGAAGAGACTGAAGATACTTTTGATGCTGTTATAGCTTCTGAAGTTGTAGAACATGTGGCTGATCTAGAAACATTTATACAGTGCTGCTGTCGAGTGTTAAAAGTAAGATTTATGGAGTTTATTTCTTATTACAGTGTGCCTATATCTGTAGCAAAAAAATTACTCGATAATATTGTAGCAGTCCAGCAGGCAGAATATGGGAGAGAAGGAACCAGAAGCCAGGAGTAAGGGATATCTGCCGGAGATAACTTTTGGCCCTCAGATTAACCTTAGTCACAGGGATTTTCGGTGTCCTACAGTATCTTGATGTGCATTGAAAAATGTTGGTGTATTTGAAAACAATACATTTATAGTGGTATTTCCCTGTTGATACAGTCCGGATTAAATACTTAATAGACATTGTATGGCAGTTACCAAGCAGTGGTTTTTACTTAATACTTCAGAATCAGTAGAAATAGTGATTAGCATAAATTTACTTAAATAGCATTTAAATCACTTTATATGTGAGTTTTCAGCCTATGAAAGAGTTATTTGACACATTTGATTTTACCAGCCACCCAGTGGTGAAGAAAAGGCAGACATTGTTACTGCCTTTGTTGACGCATGGAGGACTCAGGGTCTGTGGGATGACAAAGATCCCTGGCACTTAGATGGGGCCTAAGGCTAGCTCTTTTGATTCCAAGCCTGATTATCCTTAATACTTATTATTATTAAGTAATTTGGCCAGATTTAGTTCTCTAAATTTGTTTCTAAACTTTCTTATAATAAATATCCCTAAAGTCCTATTTACTAATGCTACATATAGATTCTATTGTTACATTTAAACTGTTATACCCTAAGGTCAAAAGCTAAAAGAATGAAATGCTTAGCCAATATCTAAATAGAGGTTTTTAAAAAAATTTAGGAAGTTAGCTCAAAAGCTGAAAAATGAAATGCTAAGCCCATATCTCAATAGAGCTTCTTAACAAGAGATCTAAAAAGCGTTTGTTTTTAACTAATCCCAGGTTTACAGAGAAGTTGCAAAGACAATATAGTATCACCTTCACCTGTATCCTTCTAGTGTCAACAGCTTTGTAAGGTTAAGAACACAGATGAGCCAGTGAGGCGGAGGACACACAGTGGAGGAGACCCTGCTGTCAGGGTCCCGCCTCGTACTCACACACGTGGAGTGGCATCATGCAGCCCACCATGGTGCTGCCCCTGACATACAGTTCTCAGAGTCATGCTTGTTGGCATTGTACTTCCTAATGCATTGCGGGGCTTGTTAAATTGCATTAGTTTTCTGGTAATGCCATTTTCCCATTACAGAATCCAGTCCAGATTCCTGCATTACAGTTAGTTGCCGTGTGTCCTTAGTCCTCAATCTGTGATTGTTTCTTTGGTGTTACTTCTTAAATGGAGTTATTTTAAGGCTTATTTCCTATTGTTCAAGTAAAATTCCTTCATTATTAATTTCTGTGTTGTGTGTCAGTATGTGTGTGTGTGAACAGAGAGGTTCTTGGACACATACAAGGAATACTGGCATTTTGGACTTTCAAACTAAATTTTGATTTAATGGAGAACCTATATTTTAACCAACATTGTTTATTACTAATTCTTTAATGTATAATTTTATTGAATACAGACTCGATAAGTGTTCAGATTTAAAAATGATTCTCTGCCAGAGTTGTACAAAGAAAAATTGTATGATATAATTTGTAGTATTTCAGTTTTAATTTAAGGGTACACTGCAGTATTTCAGGGCTCATCTTAGCTTTTTTTACTTTTGGTTTGAGGTAATATTTGAAACATTATGTCTTTCTCTCCACTCCAGTATATGTAGAAAGAGTAATATAAGTGTTTTGGAGGGAACTTGGCATGTTGTCCCCATTACACTAATGATAACATGTAGAAGCGTGAGGCTGCACTTACGTGCTTGACATTTGTCAGACTAATCATAGGAAACACTATAAATATAACCAACAGAACTAAACAGTGCAAACTAAACAGTTCCATTTTGGGTTGGCATTTGCCTAAGGGGTTATCTTGTTCTTTTATAGTATTTTTGCAAATGAAATATTTGAAATAAAAATATTTCAAACCTTAATCATTTATTTTTTTGTCAGAGAGTACCCACTGACTGTTCTCTATGCTGCAGTAAATAAGTAAAAGAGAAAACACACATATGTTGTAGTAATATATGATTTTAAGGATTGTAAGTACTAATGTATAGACTCAGTGAGTCTGTAGTGGATTGCGCGTAAGAGGATAAAAACCAAGGAAAGTAAAACAGAATAAAACCAATCAAAATAAACCAGTATAAGTGATACAGGACTTCAAAACCTTATGAAATCAACAATAGTTACCATACTTCTTTTGTTTTCAGAGTAGTTGTAGAGACCTTCGGACATAGAAAAAAATGAAAAGAACAGAATAGGATAGAAACAATAAAAACAAATCAGTGAATACAATAAAAGTCTTCAAAACAAACCAGTAGTAAAATCAAAGTGGCTACCGTAATGACTTGCTATCTTTTAAATAGCTGCTCCTGCCATCAGATTTTTAAACAAAACAAAATGAAAGAGAATTAAATCCAACCCAACAAAACAATGAAAATGATATGGTTTCCAGGTGAGGATCGCGTCCTGGTGAGGCCTGGTTCTCTCCTGTTGCAGTCCACGAATGGCACTGACTCACGGAGAGAGGCTTGGATCTTGGATTGCCGTTATTTGTTTATTTATTTTTGACCCCGGGAATCAAATTTAGGACCTTGTGCTTACCAAGTAGGCGCTTGTGCCACTAAGCAAAACCCCTGACCTTTGGATTGCCTTTAATAGTGAATTTCCCAAGGAAAAAATACTGTGGCAATTTATATTGTATTGATACTTATGTATCTTAACTATACTTAAAAATACTTGAAGAGAAGAGAGGGAAAGGCAAGCCTTACTTGAGTGACACTCATAGTTCTATACATGTTTACAGGTATGTAATTCTGCTTCTTCTAGCATGGTGGGTCTTTATTCATCACTACAATCAACAAAACACAGCTGTCCTATGTCTTGGGGATTGTGTTTTCAGAGCAGATTGCAGGGATAGTTCCAAAAGGTACTCACACGTGGGAGAAGTTCATTTCACCTGAAAAGCTAGAGAGCATTCTGGAATCAAGTAAGTATGAAGAATTTTTTTCAAAATTTTAAGACTTAACTATAATCATTAATCACATAACCTAGCACTTAACTAATTGGGTCACTATCTTCAGGATGCTGATTTCATCTTTTCAACTGTGTGATACACTTTTTGCTGTTGCAGTTAAGTAGTAAGTACCTCTTCTGTCTCCTTGTGATACCTAATCTAGGTCTAGCTAATGATAGATGACAAATACATATCTTTGGCTATTTAGCCTTCACTTGTTGAAGGATGAGATACAAATGTCTATTATCTATACGTCTTCTGTTCATCCTACTAAGCACTCCGAATATCCGCTGACCTTTCTAATTTTTCCTGATTCCTCTGCACTCAGATATATTTTTAACGTCCTGGTCACTTTATATATTTTATGTTGTGGTGCACATTATATTATGGTTTTGTAGTGGTTTTTTCCTTTTCTGGCCTGTAAGATACTTTAAGACAAGGTTTGTCTCATTGTTGTACATCCTACGTTATCTCATTCTGCTTTACACATAGTAAGCAGTCAATCGAAGCCTTGCATTCCTGCCAATTCATAGTGTTTTTTGTTTTGTTTTGTTTTTGTTTTTTGAGGCAGTGTCTCACCTTGTAGTTCAGGCTGGCCTTGAATTCACTGTGTGTCACAGGCTGGCACTGAACTCACAGCAACCCTTCTGCCTCAGCTGCCAAGTGCCGGGATTACGGGCATGTGCCACCACACCTGGCTAAGTAATAGTGTTTTTCAATTCACTTATTTGGCATTTGACGTTCTTTTCTTAGCACTTGGACTCATTGTATTTCTCATGTTTTTGTTTATATAACAATGCATAAAATTTGATTTTACTTGGAGTATTATCAGTACATAGCAAACTAGTGTGGTCTGGTAATTTCTGTAACTGTTGAGAATAATTTAAAAAAATACTTTAAGCATGATTCATGGCAATAATCTTTTATTGACAGATGTTTTCTAGTGACAGCTAACATTTATTTTGTGTATTTTTCAAATTCCAAGAACTGCTTTACTTTATATACAAAACTCTTATAATTCCAACAACTGTATGATACATGTTCTGTTCATGTGGGAAAACAGAGATTCAGAAAGGGTAGGCATCTCACCCAGGGTTGCTGTGTAGGAGGTGCAGAGAGGGGGCTTGAGTCTTGGCAGTCTGCTTAGAGCACGTGTCCTAGTCTGTAGTACATTACGATATGTACATGGTAGCAGAAAACTCTTACCTGTTAAATTAGCAATTATTTTTTAAATATACCGAGTTGTAGGAGACTTTTAGTACTTGGAAGATACATATTTGTTAAGGCTGTACTTTCTGGTATTTTTTTCCAGATGGTCTATTAGTTCAGACCGTGGCAGGAATGATCTACAACCCCTTCTCAGGTCACTGGCATTGGAGTGAAAATACCAGCCTTAACTACGCAGCTCATGCTGTGAAATCTATGGCAGCAGACCACTTGGGGCCTGCTGACTTTGTTTCCAAGGAGGAAACAGAAGCACCTCAGGCTGAGGCTTCCACCATCTCACAGGTGCATGAAGAACTCAAGGAATGAACTTTTCTGAAGACTACAGTAATATGACCTGAAACTGATGCTTATAGTTTTAAAAAACATCTTTTGACAAAGATCATGAAGAAAAGGTTAATAAAAAAAGTTAAATCCTTGGACAAAAAAGTCATCTGATAGCTACTTTCAAGGATTTCTATGGAAAAAAAAGGTTTTTTTTCCTTTGGTACAAGGATCGAACTCACGACCTCATGCTTGCCAGGCATCTATGAATAAAAAGTTTTATGAAGTTGTATTTAATCTAGATGTTCACATCTAGGATTCCTCATCTTTGTTATAGAAATAGGAAGACTATATTTCATTTTCTCTTATTGATTACATATGTATTTTTCCAGTAAATATGCTATTACTTAATTTAATAAGTTTACAACAGTGTTCCTCTTTATTTGATTTTAGTTAAAACCAGTTATACTTTTAACTGATGAAAATCAAATGTAGTTTTTGGAAGTTTTTGTTTCCGTTTTTGTGAGACGAGGTCTCGCTATGTAGTTCATGCTGCCCTTGAACTCCTTCCGTAGCCCAGGCTGACCTCAGACTCGTGGTGATCCTTCCGCCACCTCCTGGTGCTGCCGTTACAGACATGCCCCACCACACTCAGTGCAGAGGTAAGTTTATATCACTTGTATTTAGGAAGATAATATTTTTTCCTTTAAATTTCACTTTATTGGAAGTAAAATGCATTGTTGAATATGTAGTAAATTTGGATTCAAGTACTGAAATCAAGAGCTGGGGATTTAGCTCAGCGGCATAAGCACCTGCCTTGCAAGCAGGCAGTCGTGAGTTCGATCCCGGGTACCGATAAAAAGGAAAAAGACAGTTTGAGTCCTTTGGTGTCAACGCCCCAGCCACTACCTGCGCTCCATGAGGAAGATGCTTGCCGCCGTCTCCCGCGTGTTGTCCGGCGCTGCCCAGAAGCCGTCTAGCAGAGTACTAGTGGCATCCCGTAATTTTGCAAATGATGCTACGTTTGAAATTAAGAAATGTGATCTTCACCGGCTGGAAGAGGGCCCACCTGTCACCACCGTGCTCACCAGGGAAGATGGACTCAAGTACTACAGGATGATGCAGACTGTGCACCGAATGGAGTTAAAGGCAGACCAACTGTATAAGCAGAAAATTATTCGTGGTTTCTGTCACTTGTGTGATGGTCAGGAAGCCTGCTGCGTGGGACTTGAGGCCGGCATAAATCCTACAGACCATCTGATCACAGCCTACCGGGCTCATGGCTTTACCTTCACTCGGAGCCTTTCTGTCCGGGAGATCCTAGCAGAGCTAACAGGACGAAGAGGAGGTTGTGCTAAAGGGAAAGGAGGATCTATGCACATGTATGCCAAGAACTTCTACGGCGGCAATGGCATTGTTGGAGCTCAGGTGCCCCTGGGAGCTGGAATTGCTCTGGCCTGCAAGTACAATGGAAAAGATGAAGTCTGTTTGACATTATATGGTGATGGTGCTGCCAATCAGGGTCAGATATTTGAAGCTTACAATATGGCAGCATTGTGGAAATTACCCTGTATTTTCATCTGTGAGAATAACCGCTATGGAATGGGAACGTCTGTTGAGCGAGCCGCAGCCAGCACTGATTACTATAAGAGAGGCGATTTTATTCCAGGGCTGAGGGTAGATGGAATGGATATCCTGTGTGTGCCAGAAGCAACAAGGTTTGCAGCTGCCTATTGTAGATCTGGGAAGGGACCTATCCTGATGGAGCTGCAAACTTACCGCTACCATGGACATAGTATGAGTGATCCTGGAGTCAGTTACCGTACACGAGAAGAAATTCAGGAAGTAAGAAGTAAGAGTGACCTGATTATGCTTCTCAAGGATAAGATGGTGAACAGCAATCTTGCCAGTGTTGAAGAATTAAAGGAAATTGATGTTGAAGTGAGGAAAGAAATTGAGGATGCTGCCCAGTTTGCCACAGCTGATCCGGAGCCACCTCTGGAAGAACTAGGCCATCACATCTACAGTAGTGACCCACCCTTTGAAGTGCGTGGTGCTAACCAGTGGATCAAATTCAAGTCAGTCAGTTAACAAGAGACCACATGTAATGGAATGGGCTATTCATCAGCAACTGTAAGGAACTCTGTTTTTAACCTTGAGAAATATACTAAAAATATGGTATAAGTCTTAGAAACTTCAGCATGTAAATTATATTGAGAGAGTAATCGCATGCAGGTTGTACATTAGTGCTTAAGTGCTTTGTGTGAATATATAAAACAGGAGGTAAAAGAATAATCTCCCAAATATTTTCTTTTGTCTAAACAGAAGAACAACAATTCTTTGTATGCCTATTCCAACCCTGTCATCTCTTTGGGTAGAAATCACTGGCCTTGAGGAATCATTGCTGTGTCCTCAGGTAGTGGTGGCAGAAGACGGTTCACACTGATTACAACAGCATTCTCCAACAATTTTTATTATAAGATTTCAAAGGCCAAACTACTTTGTTTTCTCCAATTATACATTCAACATAAACATAAAATTATCTTGTTACATTCCCATTAGATAATAAACTAAACATATCCATTTTATTTTTCACATTTAAGTGCTATATTAGTAAATAAGGCACACTCTAAAACAGAGGTACCCAGCCTCATTTTAAACACTTTTCAAGTAATGTACGATGTGGTAACTTTTCATGAAAGTAAAATTCATATATGCTGGGATATCTAAGATTCACTATTCATATTAAACATACTCTATAAATCTTTAAAATGTTTATAAACAGACTAAAACATTTCAGTAAGAAAAGTCTCTAGAACATTAAGTTCTTAATTGAATTAAACTCAGCAGAATTTGTTGTGTATGGAAACAAACTTTAACCACAAACATGTCAGTTAATATTGTCCTCGGGTGTATCCGCATCCTCTGCGGGCTCCTGGTCCTCCTGGTTTCGGTGCTTGACGATCGCATGCCAGATCCTACAGAGCACACCACCACTGTGAAACAAATAACATTTGTAAGAAAAATAAATTTCAAACCAAAAATCCCAAATACCTACCTGCCTAAGAGTTCTTACTGCAGAAAGTAAAGTATATAACTCCAGAGTTAACATTTGCCACCTGTTCTCAAAAACGCAGCCTGCCTACTTAAGCACTTCACAAAAACATTCACATGTGAAGGTGATACTCGTGCCCCTGCAAGAAGTACTGAGGGATCTGTGTAAGGCTATTTAAAGTGACATAGAAATAAGAGGGCAAGTTGCCATTTCAAGAGCTGAGTGTAGTGTGCTGGCATCTTTTCCCAACTTGAACCTAGCAAGACTCCAGATTTGGGAGGGGAGACATTACCGGCATTTTGTTTTCTACTTTATTTTAAAGTATATTCACACAAAAAATGTTCTATTATACAACGGTAAGTGCTGAACCACTTACCATAACTGAAGGCTCTTTAGGTCTTCCTTAGAGATATGATCAAGAATATCAGAAAAAGTATAACCCTCTTTAACAATCTGAAACAAAGACAAAATGCTTAAGACCTAAGCAGCTTTTTGACGTCATAGGAATTGGTTTTGGTTATAAATATACCTTTTCAATTGTACTGCATCCACTTGTAGCTGTTGCAACCAAGCTGTAAGCTCTTCATCTGTGCTCTGTGACTGAGCAGGTGCTGGGATTGCTGAGCAGGTGCTGGGAGCAGGATCTGTAACAATTAGAAACTTGTTGTATATTAAAGTGCTTTTCTAAAGTAAAATGGATGTAAAAAAAAGTATCCAGAATGTAAATGTCACGTGAAAAATTGAGTTAAATCTGTATTATTCAGCTGCTGTGTACAAGTCACAATTCTTGGGTTTGTTTTACAGAGAATAGAATCATCCTTACCTACCCTACCTTGAATAAATGTGTAACTTGAAAAAAAAAATTCAGATTATATTGAACATAATTTCCTAAAATTGTATGGTGCCCTTTTTTTTTTTTTAAGATAGAAAGGACTTTTACAAACTTAGATTTGCTTATGAAATTTTTTCAGTTAATATATTAAGAGGACTGAATTGCAATACATTTTCCCCCTCTTAAAATATGTGAGTCTGGCTTTTTCTCAAAATTCAGAAGTAATATAAGGACGTACACAGATGGTATTTGCTGAATATGACTATATGTAATAAAAGCTTGTGGCCCTTGTAGGAGCTCAGCCTTTCCTTTCTAGCGTTTCTTTTCAGCACTCATTTACATTTTTGTTTGTTTTGTTTTTTCAGCAGGGTCTTGCTATGCAGTTCAGGCTGGCTTTGAGCTCACTTTGTAGCCCAGGCTGGTCTCGAACTTACAGTGATCCTCCTGGCTCAGTCTCCCAAGTGCTGGAATCACAGGTGTGCTCCACCATGCCCAGCTCTCACTTAGGTTATTCTTTTTTGGAGACTGTTGGTTTGGGCTCCTCAGGCAGACACTGCTCAAGCAGCTAACTTATCATTTGCTTTCAGTGGCATTTTGGGATAGGAAACTGACACTTAAGAATGGTGTCAGCTGCTTGTGGCTAATGAGGAAGTTAATTAGAAGTTTACTTTGACTACCATTTAAAAGTTTGATTTTTAGTCTGAATCCTAACAGTTTTCTTATCAAAACAAAGTTACCTCTTTCCATCTGTTAAAACAAAAGCATTGATATTAAAGATTAGGAAATGTGTAATGCAATTGATTGAAAGACGGTCTCAAAATGCATCTATTTTAGAAGGAGAGCTCTAATTTTTACAGTTATTGAATATATACACTGTTAAATGCTGGTAATTGAGGGTAGTTCAGTAATAACTCTGTTTTAGTTGACTTCCCATGGAATGAAGAGGGAAAATATTGTTCCTCTATGTATAATCTAATTTGAAATTGTAGGCTGAATTCAACCAAATTCCTAAGGAAATAGGTTCAAAAAGACACAATAGTTTTAAAGAATGAAATGTGATTTTAAAAAGCCAACAGTGAATGTTTAAATCTTTTAAAATGTATTGCTGTAAAGCACATACTGCTTTTAACTTTCTCATTTCGGACACACTTGCCAGCATCCTTGCAGCTTTCTGAAAGAGTTCTGAAAGTCATCTTTCGTGAGCGTCTTCAGTTTTGTTATTGGGGTTACCTCGCTATCCCAAATCAATTTAAAATGTTTACCTTTCATGGCCAATTAATTTAGGGGGTAGCCAGAAGTCTCACGATGCCAGATCCAGTGAATAAGGTAGGTGAAGATACACTGTAATGTTTTTGTGTGACAGAAATTGCTGTTGCAGAGACAGTGTGTGACACAGAATCTTGTAATACAGGATGAAACCATTTGCCCATTCTTTGGGCTGTTTTCAATACACATCATTTCTTAAATATTCTAATACACGCTTAGAATACTCACAGTTCACTGAAGTATTGCTGGTACAAACTCAGCTCATAGAATTCCATCAAGGTCAAAAATATAGTCCATTGCCTTAACACTGAATGTTGAGTGATACACTCGTCCCCCCACAAGAACTGGAGGATTTACAGTGAAAATGCTGAACTTTGATCTCGGGATCATACCAAAGGATCCATGTTTCATTTCCCATTTTGACATTTTTTAAAACACTGGAATTTCTGGAAGCAGAATTACATAACTCCAGTAGAACTTCCAGTATTTCATATTAAAGTGTTGTTCATGATGCCTGATTTATAGCACACTTTAAAACACCTCTAAACTATAGGTCACAACTAACTGCACTGAGCAAGTTGAAGGTTAGATAAATAACTACTTCTTGAAGATCTCTACCTTTCTGTTGGATGACAGTCAAGTAAAATTGTTCATTGTATTTTTATTTTATTGGTGTAGTTTAGATAGTGATAACATTCATCATAGGGGACTTGTGCCCATACACGGTACAGCTGGCTGCTGCTGTGTTTTCTCTGATTTATTTCCTTTCTTTATTTACAAAAAATTTCATTCCATTTTTACCTTCTATTTTTTCTGTCCCTCTCCTCTCTTGTCCCCACCTCATTTGAACATTCTGTTGCCATTTACCAATACCAACCATACATTTGAGTCCTTATTTACACTTTTAATTCTTAAACCAGAGAAACCATGCAATACGTATACATGTGTGTCTGCTTTGTTGCACTTAAGAGTATGGCCTCACAGTGCATCCATATACCTACAAATGTCTCAAGTTTATTTATAAAAAAATTATTTGTTCATTAGTTGATGGACATTGGGTCTGTTTTCAGTTACAAATTGTGTAAACATGGGTGTACCTATATTGCTATGGTATACTGCTTTTAACTCTTTGGGGAAGATACCAAGAGGGGCAATAGCTGGGTCAAATGGAATCTGTAGTCCTAGGTTTTTGAGGAATCTCCACACTGATTTCCACAGTGGTTGTACCGGTCTACACTCCCACCAACAGTGGAGAAGGATTCCCTTTTTTCCCGCAGCTCCTCCAGCATTTGTTACTGGTTGATTTGATGATAGCCATTCTTCTGTGGTGAGGTGGAATCTGTTATAATCACAGATGGCGAATAGTTTTTTAATTTATTTGCTGTTTGTATTTCTTCATCTGAAAAGTGTGTATTCATCTCATGCCCATTTTTAAACTGAATCTTTAATTTGGGGCATCTAATATTTTGAGTTCCTTATATATCCTGGATAGTAGTGCTTTATTTGAAGAACAGCAGACACACTTTTCCACATTAACGGTTGTCTCTTTATTCTGCTGATGGTTTCTGTAGCTGTGCAAAAGCTTTTTTTTTAATTTTTTATTTTTTAAATTTTATTTAAGGAGAAAAGAAAAAAAGCAGAGAAAGGGTACAAGTTATACAGATTTGCAGGAAAAAAATGAACAGTAGGAAATCACTAGTTAATGGATTACATATTGTCATCTTAGAAATAATTGTTCAAGTCACAAAATTAAAGCTTGTAAAGTGGACATTCCATCAATGATACTGCAAACAGTTCTGTTCAATGATCCAATAAAACTCTGTGATATCATTTTCTATCTTATACACTTAAATATACATGCAGTTATATAGTTTAGAGCACTTTCTTTTCCTCTCTTTTGTACAATTTGGATTTCATTGCTCCCACGGTTCTTATTACTTTTTTGGAAGAGAGTAAAACCAAATGTGACATAACAGAACAGAATCGGTCAAGTCAAAAGGGTGGACATAATAGATAATGTGAAAACATAATACAAGGTGATCAACAATGGTTACCATAATGCCTCCCGCTATCTCTAATAGAATTGCCTATATCGTTAGTTATAATACAATTGAACAAAACAGTAAAGAATAAAACCGACAAAACCAAAACATTGGAGACATTGTAGGTCTTCAAAAGTAGATAAAAGTCAACGAGAATGGGCATTATAATGAGTCTCATTATCTTCACAGCTGATGCCTAAATTTTCGAACCTGATACTACCCAGCAAAACAGAATAGGGGAACATCAGTTAAAAACCAGATGGTAAGAGTAATACAGGGCTTTAAATCGAGATAATGGAAAGTCAAAGTGGGTTGCTATAATATATCCTATTTTTTTCCTTTAATTAAAAGGATAAAAATTAAAAAGTAAATAATGGAGTGGAGATTGAGATAAAAGAGGGCATAACAACGAAACAGCACAGATCAAAACATAACCATTTAAGCAGAAGTGTTTCACCACCAGATAATCCTGACCTAAAAGTAGTTACCATATTGTCTCTTTCCTTGAAATCCTTGAGTACAACTTCATATACTGTAGCATTAAGTATATCAAAACAATGTAAAACCATTTAAGAGAATGACAGCATTACAGAGTATTTAGAATCGACTAACAGAAAATGAACAATGGTTTCTGTATAATCTCCTTGTCTTTAAAAGGTTTTTGCTTATACTATCGTACATAATAAAATCCAGTAAGATAAAACCTATTTAGACCATTGGAGACAGAAGGACAAAAGCTAGATGAGACTTCAAAACAAGATGATACTAAATCAGTATTACCTATTAAGATGTCATTTTCTCCAAAATAGCTGTTCCTATCATCCAATCTTCTCTGCCTCATTTCTGTTGAGCTCTTATTCTGTCAGTAGCTGTCAGTTTGTCTTCTTCACTTTGTTCTCTGCTCCATTCGTTGTGGCCTCCACTATTTCTGGATTCTTTGTATTTTTCTTTTTTTAGAATATCCTGCAATACTCTCTGTAGAGTTGAATTGGTGGTTGCAAATTCCCCCAGTTCCTCTTTATCCTGGAAGCACCTTGTTTTTCCATCAATTTCCAGGGACAGTTGTGCAGGATATCTCAATCTTGGCTGGAGATTATTATCTTTCAAAGCTTGAATTATTTCCCCCCGTGCTCTTCGTGATTTGATGGTTTATGCAGAGAAATCTGCTGTAATTCTGATGGGTGCTCCCTTGTAAGTGGTCTGTTTCTTGTCTCTGACAGCTTTTAATATTCTGTTCTTGTATTGAATTTCTGGAATTTTTATTATTATATGCCTGGGTGTTGCTCTGTTTGGGTTGTAGGTAGCTGGGGTTCTGTATGCCTCATACATCTGAGTATCTTTACCTTTTGCTAAATTAGGAAAATTCTGGATTATTTCTGTGAGTAGCTTTTGTAGTTCATTTGTTTGTGTCCCTACTTCTTCTTTTATGTTCTTAATCCTTAAGTTATGGATCCTCTTATCATCTTCCTGTCTTTGTATTATTGCTGTTTGTTTCTTTGTTATTTTTAAGAAGTTTTTCATTTCATTCTCCCATATTACAATTCTGCCCTCCAGTTCAGATAGTCTGTCCTTAAGTTTCTTTCAAGCTGTTATGCCAGTCTTCAATAGACTTCTTAGTTTCTTGGTAGTCCCTTTGAACCTGCTTCACGTATTCTATGCTTTCCCTGTTTTCTCTATCAAACAATTCTCCCCTCTTTTTCTGTTCTTCCATTCCACCATCTGTTTTTTCTTGGGTGATGCTTAGCATTTCTCTAACTATTTTGCATACTTCTAGCTTCAGGTCGTTGATAACTTCATTCCTGAATTGGTCTATGAGGCTCTCTATATGGCGCTTTATGTCTATTGGTGTGGTGTCCGCTATTGCCTGTTTCTCAGAATTGGGGGCCGATGAGCCTTTCTTGTTGCTGCCTCTTCCCATATTCCCTGTTCCTTATATATGCAAGCTTATATGAGAGGCCCAGCTTCTCTCCCTGTCAGCCACAGCCTGA